TCTCTCAGCCCCACCTACCTCACAGGGTGCCTGTTGTGGGGAGAGGAAGGGAAGGAGATTGTAAGCCTTTCTGAGACTTCAAGTAAAGGGTGGGGTATAAATCCAACTCTTTTTCTTCATTGCACTTGTTGGGAATTAAAAGTAATTGCAGGTCATGGCAATAGATTGTTATTAACAAGGCAAGGAAAATAGTGCCAATGTGGGCAGAATCCATATGGCATGCACAGGTGCTTTGATTGCAGTCTTTCCAAAAAAGACTGTATCAAAGCAGGGGGATACCTGGAAAGTCTTGGATAATTCGGGGATGTCATATGGATGTTCTAACCACCCCCCTCAGAAGAACATAAGGAGAGTCCTTCTGGATTCAACAGTGGTCCATCTAGTCCAGAATCCTGGCTCACACAGTGGCCAGTTATTGCAGAGTGCCAACAACAGGGCATAGAAGCCAAGACCACCTCTTGGCCCTGGGATCCAGACGTTTACAGCCTCTGAAGACACTGATAGACCTATCCTCCATTAATCTGTCTAATCTTCTTTTAAAGTTGACTTTGTCTGTGGATGTCAAACTCCAGCAAAACCTCCACTTGGGAGCAACTGTGAGTGCAGAAGGAGTAGAACTTCTGCTGCTTAGGAAAGCATTGGCAGTGTTCGAGCAAGAAATGCAGCAATTGTGATAAAACAGAGTGGAGTTTTTATGCAGTGAGATAAACACTCAGGCTGTTGCAAAGGGAACCAGGAGTAACCCATTGCCCCAGAGTGTGTGTGTCCTTTACTGAACGATGAGATGGAATATGGTCCAGAGACAGCAGCAAACCCACTTCGCAGGTACAAATCAATTGTATTAGCCTTACTTGGTAACCTTTCTATAGTTCACCCCAAGACCCTTCTAGGCTGCCATGCTGACTTTAGGAATAGATTCCTACATATGTGCATAATTGCAAGGAACATGCTTTACAAAATGTAGTGAAAGCTACCATCCACCTTTGACTGCTGACTAAGCTTTAAGAAGTCTTTAAAAGATTTCTATTGCTGTCAAATAGTTTATCTCTGCCTCCGCAAACATAACCCCCCCCCCCCAAAAAAAATGGTAGGCCTTCCAGTGACTTGTTCGAGACTTTTCAGGCATTCATTGTAATATAGATGGATGGGAGATCATACAGGCTTGCCTCACAAGGATGTTTGTAAGGGTTACTGAGATGGAGTTCTTTGAACTTTTAAACACACACTATAAATGTTAACATTAAGAGAATGGCTGCTTCTTCATGGGGGAGGGGGGCAAAAAGGCACTCCTGGCACAGCAGCCACAGCAACCAGAGCAGGAAAAGGCAAGAAAGTGTCTTGCACAAATTAGTCCCTTTCTGCTGTGCCAACTGCTGCCACCCCCACCCTTTCTCCTCCCCATCGCATCTGGCAAAAGCACAGATGCAAAACTGATTTCCACAGACTAGGGGATTTCTATAGTTTTGTTTTAGCATAGGCAGGGGTCATTTCCTGCAGGAGCGCACAGGAGCGGAGCTCCGGCAGTAAAGAGCCCCGGCGGCGGGCACATGCAACAAGCCCCACCCTGCTCCCAGCAGCCCTCAGTCAGAGCAAGAACCAGCCAGGTAAGTTGCAGAGCCGCCCCCCCCCCCCCCAAGCTCCCCGGTCCAAAACAGTCCAGTGGCACTTTTAAGACCAGGTTTTATTCAGGTACAAGCTCTCCCTCCTCTGTGAGGACAGATCTGCACATTCCCCCCACCCCAATAGCTAGCAATCCAAAACAGTCCAGTGGAGCCTGAGCAGTGGGTGTTGCCTTCTGACACACTTCCGGTGATGTCAGGGGGTGTGGCATATGCAAATAAGTTATGCTAATGAGCTCCTGCACCTCTTTTTCTACTAAATGACCCCTGAGCATAGGGAAATGTTTTCACATAGAACAGATGAGAATCACCTTGTTAATGGCCTCAGTGCACCTTCAGGAAAGACAGGAGGTGACTTTTTTCAAATAAATAATTGAATAAGAACTTTAGTATGTAAGTGGAATTTTGTTTCATTTTTTAAAGTGGCCCAGGCTAGCCCAATTTTGTCAGATTTTGGAAGCTAAGTACTTGGATGGGAGGCCACCAAGGAAGTCCAGAGCTGGTATGCAGACAATGGCAAACTACCTCTGGTCACTCTTGCCCTGACCTGGACAGCCCAGGCTAGCCTGACCTCATTAGCTTTGGAAGTTAACAGGGTCAGCTCTGGTTAGTATTTGGATGGGAGACCTCCAAGGAAGTCCAGAGTTGCTACACAGAGGCAGTCAAGGGCAAATTACCTGTTTATGTCTTGCCTTGATTACCCCATGGGGTCGCCATCAGTCAGCTATGACTTGATCGCACTTTCCTCCATCATGTAAGGGAGCTTTGTTTTTTAAAGCAACAAGAGTTGAAGTAATGTGGCGATATAAAGAAGTCGCACAGAACGAGAAACCCTAATTACAGAAAATACTGTTTAATCCTCTACGGACATCAAATTCCACAATAGCACCGGCAGCTCCTTGCGCTTTAATGCTTCAGCGCCCCAGGGTCTATGCTGGATCAGGCCCAAGACCAGGAAAAGATGGGCTGACTTGCCCAAGAAAGGATTATAGACAAAATATCAAAACATAAAACCACTGAAGGATTTTCCCTTCCCAGATCTCCCCCTCCCCCAAAATATTTACATATTTATTTTTACAAATCAAAGCATTCTTTTAAGGTTGTTGATATTACAAACAAGAGAAAGAAACAATATTACTATAAATCACCCACTTAAAATGCATGATCGAGTTTGTCCACAATTGAGAAGAGACACTATTTACAGGAAGTCCTTTCTTTGTCTTCATTTTTATAGACTAGAGAATCTAAAATCAGTGTTGATTAATTTTTTCAAAAAGTTTCTACCAAGCAGGGTTCTTTCTACGAGAACATTTTATGTATAAAAACTAGGTCTCCTCTGTTATACTCTTCCAGGATGATACTTTCTAAAACAGGCTGAGACTCTTAAAAAAAATAAAAAATAGCCCCAACAAAATATAAATAACCCACACTAGGGAATTCATGTTTTTTTCCTGCTACATTCAAGGATCATACCTCCTCAAAGTGCTATAGGAGAAAACCATCCATTATATATATATGCTTTAAAATATCCATTAAAAACTCCAATAGAACAACTGCATTGTATCTTATAATTTTTTTAAAAGGTTAATTTCTCAGCTCATGTGGCTGTCAAGGATGGGCGAGTGGGCGTCAACATGGCAAATGGGGTTCAATGTGGCCAAGTGCAAGGTGATGCACATTGGAGCCAAAAATCCTAAATATAAATACACATTGATGGGGTCTGAACTGGCAGAGACTGAGCAAGAGAGAGATCTTGGAGTTGTAGTGGATAACTCACTGAAAATGTCGAGACAGTGTGTGACTGCAATAAAGAAGGCCAATGCTATGCTGGGGATTATTAGGAAGGGTATTGAAAACAGATCAGCCAATATCATAATGCCCCTATATAAAACAATGGTGAGACCTCATTTGGAATACTGTGTGCAGTTCTGGTCACCACACCTTAAAAAGGATATTATAGCTTTGGAAAAAGTGCAGAAAAGGGCAACTCGAATGATAAAAGGGTTGGAACACTTTCCCTATGAGGAAAGGTTAAAGCGCTTAGGGCTCTTTAGCTTGGAGAAAAGACGACTGAGGGGTGACATGATCGAGGTTTATAAGATTATGCATGGGAAAGAGCAGGTAAAGAAAGAGGTACTTTTCTCCCTTTCTCACAATACAAGAACTCGTGGGCACTCCATGAAACTGCAGAGCGGTCGGGTTAGAATGGATAAAAGGAAGTACTTCTTCACCCAAAGAGTGATTAACACTTGGAATTCACTGCCACAGGAAGTGGTGGGTGCTACAAGCATGGATGGCTTCAAAAGGGAATTAGATAAGCATATGGAGCAGAGGTCCATCAGTGGCTATTAGCCACAAGGTATAGCTAGGGGCTCTGGGGCAAGTGATGCTCTGTCTTCTTGGTGCTTGGGGGGGGTCAACAGTGGGAGGGCTTCTAATGTCCTGGCCCCACTGCTGGACCTCCTGATGGCACTGGTATTTCTGGCCACTGTGTGACACAGAGTGTTGGACTGGATGGGCCTTTGGCCTGATCCAACATTGGCGTCTCTTATGTTCTTATGTTCTAGCGTGCGCTCCCAGGGTCAGGTCTCTTGATCTGAACCAGCTCTTCATGACTGGGCCCTACACAAGGGAGCAAATTGGCCAGAGGCGTACTTGCTTTGTCCCAGTCTTGGCAGTTCAGCTTTTTTGAACAACCCATTTCCAGAGAGATGCCGTTAGGGCACGGATAAAAGATGGGCCAGATTAATTTAATCTCTCTGCTAAATTAGGATAGAGGGTTAAGCGATCAGATCCCCTGTTGACTTCACTGGAGTTCCCAGCAGTCTCCTTCTCTCACAGTCAACACCATTTTGGAGGACGTGTGTCCTTTCCTACAAGCTCCTGTCCTCTTGCACCACTACGAGTTAACTCAAAACATGGTGGGCATTCTCCACCCAGCTCACAAAAAACACCATACCTAGTTGTGCGTCATTATTGTTGGGATAAACCCCATATTCCCCCTTCACCCTTTTCTCCCCACAAGAGAGTAAACAAACAAGAGAAAGAAGTCAAGTCTTAATGATAAAGCCCCCAAGCCTATCACTGTTCTTTGAAAAGAAAAAAGCCATGTAAATTGGCATAGTATAACAAATAAAAGCCTCTTCCATACAAATTAATGTCCCCATTAAGCTTTGTTAACAACTCTCTAACAATCCAGTTGGCAATTTCTTGTTTAATGCAACCCCCTCAACACCACAGAATCTCCCCCCCCCCAGCATTTTAGAAATGCTCTTGCATTCTGGCCTAATGCTTCATTAGTAAGAGAGTTAAGAATTTCCTTCTAAAATGCTAACCACAAGGAAAACATTAAAAACGGCTTCCAGCTCTGTAGGCAGAGGACATATCGGAAGGGAGGCAAGCATGGTATCGCCCAGTCTCGTCAGATCTTGGAAGTTAAGCAGGGTCAATACCTGGATGGGAGCCCACCAAGGAAGGCTTTGCAGAGGACGGCAATGGCCAACCACCTCTGCTTCGCACTCGCCTTGCTAGGGTTGCTGTAAATCAGCTGCGACTTGATGGCACGTACATATGTACACTTAGAACAAAGCGAGAGTGCATATCAGAAAGATCCTGTTTCCAAAACAATCCATTTCCTTACAGGCTAGATGGCAACAATAATCAACCCGATTCTGAAAAAATGTCCACATTGAGAGTGTTTTGGGGTTAGGAGCCAGGAGGGACAGGGATAGTGGGAAGCGTCTCTTGTTGCTGGATAGCAATGACGGAATTGTGTTATTAAAAACCCAACACTCAAGCATGCTACTGAGTGGCCACACACAACAGGTTTGCAGTCATGTCTGTTGCAATGGCAATCAAAGTTAGGATCAGGAAAGATTCCAATAGAACTGGCAGAGATCTCAGCCCAAAGGTTCTGTGTTACGTTTAAGGGGAGGTGATTGCCCCTGGCTTCTCAGGCTTCTTGCCCTTGGATAAAGCTGCAGCTTGCTTCAGGAGCTCTCTGTTCTTGGCCTGTTGAAAAAACAGGGGAGGCAGGGGAAAGAGAGTGTGTTTTAAATGCAATGGAGCTTCAGCTACTCAGGGTGGGCAATGGCACAAAATTCAGAGTTGGATACTAAGGGACACAAGCAAGGCAACAGAAGTTCAGTGCAAAAAAAGAGAGTTAAAATTCTGCACTCAAAAGCATGTTTCCACAACTTGTACAAATTATGCAAACCCATTTATTCTGTGGCTTTAAAAAAAAACTCCAATGACATCATATAATTTATTCTGATATTCCTGGTGCTCCTATAGAAGGCAGCTACCAATCTACAGGAACTAGGTCTGCCTTTATTTATTTATTTTTAAATCCAATCCATTCCATCACAGAAGACTGATTACCTAGGCAGAATTATGCAAGATGTTGTGCAGTCCTGCCATACTTCCCCACTCAATACAGAATGCATTTTTTCCCTAGGAAAAAATATACACAGCCACTGGACTATCTGGGGCAATTGTATGATTAGACTGTGTGTTGTAAGAGCCAGGGTTTTCCCCAAAATGGAAAGATCTAAGGCTGCAGTTTGGGTGGACAGAAAACCATGGATCTGGACGCAAAGAGTTCTGAACAGAAACTAGCAGATGCATGGGGATTGCACATCAGAGGAGGCCACTCCAACAAAACAAAAGCTTGTGGAATTGGTCCAATGATCATAGTGGTCAATCAGCCATGTGAAACCACAATGGTGAAACAAAAGTTACCTGCAATTGTTCTGTGACTTCCTTGTGAGTCTTTTCCATTTGGTTCATTTTGACCCGCATCTGGGATTCCTGGTACTGCAGATCAGCCTTCAGCTCAGTTATCTGCGGAGCAAAAAAATGAACAAATGGTTTGGTTCCGGAAGAGAAGTTTAAATTCCTCTGTACTGCACAGAATGTCTTGCAATGAGGAGAGTCTTACAGAAATCCAACCTGTTAAAAGTCAGGCCACCCAAGATGAAGGCAAGACTCACCAGAAAAGACAATAATGCTAGGAAAAGTTAAAGGCAGCAGGAAAAGAGGAAGACCCAACATGAGATGGGTTGATTCACTAAAGGAAGCTGTGGCCTCCAGTTTGCAAGACTTGAGTAAGGCTGATTATGATAGGGCATTTTTTGGCATTTTTTAACATGTGCATTTGTGTGTATACCTGAAAGTCATGGCAACCTCTGGTGACTGACCCCTACTGGGGGCCTAGAGGGTATTCAGAGAGGTGGCTGAATAAAGCGTGCCCCCACCTCCCGCCTCTGGTATTTCAAGGAGGCCTCCCATCCAAGTACTTCCCAGAGTCAACCCAGCTTAGCTTCTGAGATCTGACAAGATCAGGCTTGCCTGGGCTATCCAGCTCAGGGCTACTGACAGGACATTTTGGAGGACATTAATTCACAGGGGTGCCATAAAGTCAGAAGAGACTTGACAGCACATAACACACACACACAACACCCAAGATGCCATGAGCTAATGACTCCCGATTGATACAAAGGAAACATAAAAGGCATGAAACAGGCATGTGAAGCCATACTGGTTGCAGCACAGACCAGGCTTAATTCAGATGAACTGGCGGTACAAATTTGGTAAATTTGGTCACCAGGCTCACATACTTCCTTGTTCCTTCCCCTTGCACAGTGTGCCAAGACTGAAGACAAACTCTTATTTGGATGTGGGCACCTTTAGCAAACTGAGGTTTCCTTCCTCAAATATTAGACCCTAATTTTTTAATGCACCTGCATTTGGACATCACAGCATATTGTGATTAGTTCAAGGTTTCCAGCTTCAGTCTCAGGGCACTGCCATGGGGGTGGGGGGAGGAACGTAGAAGCACAAGCATTAACTTGCTTCACGACTGTCACATACCAGCTTTGGTTTGTCCATCACGTCTGAATGCAGCCTTAGAGAAATGCAGAAACCAAAAAAAACCTTGCTTATGGTTAAAAAGAAAGCGTTAAAGAGGTTCTTCTTCATGCCTTATAAGGGCGTAAAGGGCATCCACAAATGCATTTGGAAGCCTCCCCCTTTGCTGAGCATAAATCTGAGTGTGATGCAAAGAACCACCATGCCACTTTCCAGCACAGAGCTTCTGAAGAGGGCAGGATACATTCTGACAGTCGCACTGGTCTTCAGAGGCCTCAAGATCGTGCCAAGACAAAGCTCCGTTCCTCCAGCATCAACATTAAGCATGAATTTCCCAACGAAGACGTTGGAGGAGCATCTTTTAAAACAGACCGGTTGACAGCCTGGCCAAGAGGGACCAAGGGGTATTACCTTCTTCTCTTTCTCTAGGATCATCTGATCCTTTTGGTGCAGCATTTTCTTTAGGCTGGCCACTTCCTCTTTCAGCTGGGCTATGATGACAAAGTGGTCTGTGCCAGGAGAATCCAAGGCAAGGTCTGGAGAAAAACTGCAAGAGATAGGGGGGGGGGGGGGGGGGGATTTTGTTACACAGCGTCCTGTCTCAATTCAGGTCCTCTGCTATGCACCTGCTCTGGGGGGCAACAGGAGCAGCCTTTCTCAGGGTCACAGCCAGAAGAAAACAATCATTAGAAACCCTAAGTGAGGAATTCACTTCCTTCACCTGTTTGCTTGTACATATGGCTAGGCAGAGCTGGGCAACCAGCAAACTGCCAAGCCAAACAAGTCAGATGCGGAATAATCCTCATTTCTGCTGTCCATAACCCTTTTACCCCACTCCTTCCCAGAGCAAATCTGGGGCAAAGCAGTCAGGCGAATGCAGTCCCCATCAGAACTGGTGCTTCTGACTGGTCTATTTACCAGTTTTTAAAAAAATGTCCTGGAGACCCAATCATGGGTCTTCCAGTGCCTCATTTGGCTTGCCTTCCATTTCCAAGGAAAGTCTGTATTTTGCTTCATTTATGCCACACTTTTCTCCCCAATCGGGACCCAAATTGTCTGACAAACATTCTCCCCTTCTTTTTCAAACAGATGATGAAAAATAACTTTATTCTTACTGCTCTATTCATCTCATGCTTTGCTCACTCTGTAAGCTGGCTCAGCTCCCCATCCAGTAATATCCCCGAATCACAACAACATCCCCGAATCACAAATCTCACATCTGAAGCTGCCTGAGTAGTAAGATCTCCCTTGGAGGCCCTCGTCAGTAACCCCACAGACCAAATTGCAATTGGTGCTTATGTGGGACAGGACTTTCTCTGTGGTTGCACCGAAATTTCACCTTGCTTCCTCCTTGCTTGAGAGACAGTTTGGTGTAGTGGTTAAGTGCACGGACTCTAATCTGGGAGAACTGAGTTTGATTCCTCACTCCTCCACTTGCACCTTCTGGATGACCTTGGGCAAGCCATAGTTCTGGCACAGCTGTTCTTGAAAATGAGCAGTTTCTGTCAGAGCTCTCTCAGCCCCACCTGCCTCACAGGGTGTCTGTTGTGGGGAAGGGAAGGGAAAGGAGTTTGTAAACCGCTCTGGGACTCCTTTGGTAGTGAAGGGCGGGGTATAAATCCAATCTCCTCCTCCTTTAATTTTTGTTCAGGCACCCACACAAAGCAATTCTATCCAAGACAGCCTTTGGGGTGCTCCAAAAGCTGCCAGAATTTGCAACCTGGCTACTGTTAGCTTGATTTTGATCTGTTCTTTTGTTTCTCTCTGTCTATCCCATCCTCCCTCCCAGCAGTTCAGGGTGGCTTTTCCTGTAGCCTCCTCACAACAACCCCGTGAGAGACGTTAAACTTAAAAAAAAATGACTGGCCCCAGGTCACCTATTGACCTTTGGGGCTGGCAACTTGACCCTGGCCCTCCCTTGTTTTAACCCAACAGTCTAATCACTAGCTCACTCTGCCTGCCTTAGTTACAGATTATTACTGATGAGCAGAAGATACTCTCTTTACTCTCCAACTGTCATGTAGTGACTATGGAAATGGTGGCTAAATTTATGTACTTTGCCGCCAAGAGGAGAGCTGGTAATGATGATATACCTGTTATGATGCTGTGATATGCCATTAAAGGTGGTGGTTGTTGTTACAGGTTATTAAGAACAGCTTTTTCTTTTAAGTTTTGCAGTCTCTCTTAATCTTAATCAAAGAGGGTAATCCAAGGAGAGAGTAGTAGCATTTACTGTATATGGCCAAAGGCCATTACAATCAATCCCACAGAATGTTGGACTAGATGGGTCACTGGCCTAATCCAACATGGCTTCTATTATGTTCTCAGTTTGAAGGGTAACAAAGGGAGGAATAAAAGGTGCTGTCATGGTAGCGCTCTCCTAGCTAAGCAGGGTATCAGAGAGTGGGAAGGAAAAAATATATACAGGGCAGTATATACTTTCTACTTAAAAGAGGCTTAACTTTTTCGATTTGCCTTACTTTGAGCAATAAAAATGGCAAATCAGTGGCACTTAGCCCTGAGAAAACTAGCCCAAATACATGGTGTAGTGGGACAGAAAATGCTGGCACTGTAAAGCAGAAAATCCATGGTAGTTTTTTTGATGTATGGTAGAATTGTCCATGAGCTATTAAATCTGGGAAATGGTGACAGAAAATAATTTGTACTGAAAGAGTGTTTAAACTTACCCTCATTCCGAAGGCTCGGTTTCTAAACTGTCAGCAAGAATTGCACCCAAGTGCTCAGTCTCTGAGTTGCCTGTACTGCCCTAAAACACTGTCATACTTCACAGGTATTTATGCTCAGCAAGCAATAGCCACTCAAAGAAGGTCGGTCTTCCTAGCCACGTAGGGCTAGCCAAGGCTGAGAGAGGGCAGCTTGTCTACAGCCAACCTTGTGAGCTTATGCCAAGGTGATCTGAACCAGGGATTCCCGGCTCGTGGTAGTTTGCCGTTCCCTGCCTCTGTCTAACAACCCTGGACTTCCTGGATGGTCTCCCATCCAAGTACTAATCAGGGCTGACCCTGCTTAGCTTCTGAGAACTAACAAGATCAAGCTAGTCCAAGCCATCCAGGTCAGAGCAAAACATTCTGAGGTAGATCCACCAAATGGCCGGATTCAGAGCAAGGCAGTGCATATGCAGTCGTTCCTGGTTAGCATATGCTATTACTGTCCAGAGCTGGGGCAGGTTTGACAACAGCCTAGAAAAAGCATGCTAATTTTTTTGGAAAATATCAATTTTTTAAAAAACAGAGTGAATGAATTTCAGGAGGATTTGGCATGGTAGCTCTTATCAGCCTGAAATTTTGCCTTCCACAGTTTAGCCTTAGAGGGTGGTTATCCCCTCTTAAACCTCAGTGCTAGAGAGTCCTTCATATCTTGCCTCTCAGTGGGGCAGCCTGTAACTCTACACCTGTGATAGCCTTGTCCCACCTCTTTTGGGCATCATATTTTACTTCACAAAAAGAACATTGTACAGAACATCCTAAGGAATCCATGCTATTGGCCCACAGGTACCTCCCTCAATGCCAGCATCTTGTTTGTACCACAACAATGAAGCCTCATTCATGCACTGCACAAAGCTCATAGCCTCTGAATTTGGCAACTTGTACGTAAGATCCCACCCCCAGATCCAGATTTAAAATTAGCAGAGCAACTGCCGAGTGGTTCCCAAAGGCCCATGCAAATCCAAGGTGAGGCATAACATTGCAAGACATGGTACAAACCCAGGTGACATGTGGTGGCCAACATCAGACCTGGGGTATTTTCACATAGACATTTTCCCATGCTTTGGGTACACTTCCCCCCCTCCCCTTTCTCCCATCTGCATTTTCCATTTGCTGTCATTCTGTGGGTTTCTTTGTCATTTTTCTGGGCTATCCCAACTTAGATAGGTGCTTTAAGGAAGCATGGAAAGAAAACAAATGGAGAACAAGGATGGGAGAAAGCTCAGAGAAAAACCTCTGCAGGGCGGCACCCCAAACCGTGAGGAAAGCCCCCCCAATCAACATTTTCAGACCCACTTGTGATCACCACAGGCTTCTTTGAGGATTATGCAAGATGAATCTATCGGCCTCCACCTCACATCTGTTGCCAGCAGATTGAAAACCCACCCAATAATGTTTTGCACGCAGTCTTGTCAGAAAGTTTTAGAATGTTCTATGCCAAGTTTTACTATTTGAATTTATTGTAAACTGCCTTGAAGGTAGAATGGCAGTTATTTAAAATAACACAGGATAAAAAGACATAGTAAAACTATGTCCGAAAGCAATGCCTTTCTGAATTATATAAGGCATCTGCATACAAGTGCCAAAGAAGCAACTTGTCACATGGTAAGGGAAAACTCAGACTGGGAAGGAGGGAGGGAAAACTGGCGATATCTAAGAGGTAGCCTCAATTAAGGCCCTGCTCACAGTAACACCTTGGGCAGTAGCAAGGCTATGTCAAAATCTTTACGTCATCCCTGCTATGGCTAAGTTCTGAAGTAATTTGTTTGGTTCAAGAACGAGCCATGGAAGCCACTAGTTTTGTACACGTCCTTTCCTTCTTGGCATGCTTCACTGAAGGCTTCTGGGTTCAGAACTAAGTTCAGTCCACATTGAGCAGTTTTAATATAAAGCTGTTTGTTTCTTAACTACAAATGTGGATTCTAAACCACTGTCGCAATCCCAGTTTAGAATCCTGGTTTGTGGCCAAGGAACAAAGCACAGCTTGCAAGAGCACCCAATTTAGACATCATGGCAAATTGCAGTTTGTTCTAAACAGGAAAATCTTCAAAGCACACAGAGGGAGGGGAAGGGAGTGTGTGGGACTTCCAATGGTGGAATAAAGCTTCGCCTACGTGTAGCAAACCCCACTCATAGCAACATAGCTGCAGCAGTGCCAGCAGGAGACAAAACCTGCTAAGAGGATGAGACAGGAAAGAGAATAAAAGGGTTTCATAAATGCTGTGCTACAATATGAGTAGCACTGGGTAAGAGTTTAGTCATCCTTCTGATTGAATCCAATAAAAAGCTTGAAGTACTTATTGTGTATTATTCCCACACCACCCAGTATCATTACTTAATACCTTTGTATCATAAGAACTGACTTCTATTCTAAGTGCTTTCATGTCCAGCCGAGAGCAATGGATTCATGATGGGTTGTTGTAACACGGAAGTAAAATGGAGTGTCAAAAACAAGGCAACAAATTAAGACACACTTAGTTCTGGCCTACAATCCTGGTATGATGACCTTCAAAAGGAGATCCATCAACATGGATTAGTTCCAAAAAAGGAAGACAAAATATAGATGTGTGTGTGTGTATCTATATATATATATTCCCAAGGTTGGGAAAAGTAAGAGGGGGAGAAAACGATAGGTGGTCTCACTTCAAGATGTCAGTGCCTTGAGAAACAGGACAATCATGGGCAACGAGACTCTGTTGGGAAGCGGCCCACTGCGCCAACACGGATGGGGCACTCTGGATAGGGGGGCAAAGCATCTCGGGAGAGGAAGGAACGCTGAGAATCAGAGAGGAAAGGGAGGAATGAAAATATGCACGTCAAAGAGGCTCATGTCTAACTACATCTCCCCCCTCATCCTTGCCTAGGAAGTCCTAGGGAAGTCTATTCTGCTATTTCATTTATTGTTGTCTGATGTGAACCTACTTTGCACACAGAGGTGGCTGAACAGAAGTGACGGCCTTTCAGAAACAGCTGCTGCTTTCCTGCTGCAGAAATAGGGAGGGGTGTGGAGAAGGGGATCTGGCATACTGTCTCTTTACGGCAACTTTCTTTTACCTTATTCTGTTCTGCACTGCCTAACTGAAGGTTGCTTCCACACGGAACGCACTGCTTCATGCTTCCCACCCACTCTACTACAGTGGCTCTTTCTCAGGTCACTTTGCAAGCTTTCCTTGGCTGTGCTGTGATATTTCCCAAACCTGTTTTAGTACAATCTTTTCTGACAGATCATACCCAAAGTGAGTCTGGGGGAAAGTGTAGATGGAAAGGTGTGGGTTTCTGCACCACAACTGGGGCCATTCCCATTTGTGCTTGCTGGTGGGCTTTTAAAAAATTCATAGTAGATACATTCTTATAGTGTTGTTACTCTATAGCAATATAGCCACTACTGTTAAAAAACAAAAACAAAACACAGCCGGCACAAAGGACTCCGGCAGCAATTGGGGAGCAGGGAGAAGATGGCAGATGCAAGGGGATACTGAAGGGAATCTCCCTATACAGAAGCTCTGTTGCTGCTGCAAATGGCCCTGCATTCACAGCAAAAGCGAGAGCAGAATGGGGAATGATCCCTGTGTGGAAGGAACCCTATGACTGTAGCCTGGAATATGCAGCTGCACTCAACCATAATAAAATACAGCCCATTGGTTAAAGGTTCTCTCTAGTAGAAAGGGGGACTTTCAAGAGACTTGAAACTCCAGAGAAGAAACTTTTTGCACCCAAGACTGGCACTAATATATACACAGATACTTTAAAATAAAGATTTCTAAAATTTAACTGGCTCACCTGTCCCCATTGGCTGATATGGCATCAAACATGGGCTTTTTCTTTGGGATTTCATTCTGAATTGATGATGTGGACAATGTCTTCTGGCTGCAAAAAATAAAAGGACCTTGGTGAAGCTCAGCAATTCCAAGTCAGTTATTTTATGCTACTTCCTTCTTTCAACAACTGCAGCAAAATTGTTAAGACAGTCCTCTGCAGCTTAAGAAATGATGCTGTAAGAACGTTTAATGTAAAATGTAATGTTTAAAACATCCTATAGGTAGGCAGTTTTTTAAAATGGTGCAAATGTTTTCTTACTGCACATTAAAGAGCAAACCAAACTCAAGCACATGTCATGGCTCAAAGAACTTTTCCCAGCTATGAAATCAGAAAAGAAGGATATACACAGTGATTTGGATTTTCCAGAAAAGTTCCAGAAAATATCCAGTGTCCTAAATAGAGTGTGATCTAATTTAGCATGTTTATTTTGGCTTATATTTTAGAAGTACATCATGTGATTTTTATGGTCCAGTAATAACACATAATTTAATTGAAATATTTGTTTAGGGAGGAAAAACAAGTTTAGTTCAAAATGTTAGATTCAAAGAACTTCAGAGATTTAAGGGAAAAACCAAAGGCACAGAAAATTGCTAAGATACTAGTTTTAGCATACCCAAATAAAGGTGCATGATATGTTCTGGACGTGGTTGTCCACTGATCCGTCTTGAGAGAATTTAACTCATCTCCAGAGGTCACTGGGGCACCTCATCACCCGCATTACTTATTAGTTACACATCATATTGATGATTAAAATATTCCTTCCCACATGTGAAAAGAGACATATAAATAGAAATCTGAGCTTTGGTTTTGATTTGACCTGCATTGTCAGGTGAATTTATAACCCTATCTTTTTATTTGGATTATTACACATACACTATAGTGGTTAGTGTGTCCAATTAGGATCCAGGAGTCTTAGGTTTGAATCCCCACTGCCACAGAACCTTGGGCCCATCACACACTCCCGCCTAATCTGCCTCATAGGGTTGTTGTGAAAATAAAACAGAGGAGGGGAGAATAATGTAAATTGCTTTTGGGATGGAAGAGGGGTATAAATGAAGTAAATCAGGGGTCATTTCGTAGAAAAAGAGCTGCAGTTGCTCATTAGCATAAGGTATGCTAATGAGCTACTAGGCTATTAGCATAATAGCTCATTAGCATATACCACATCCCCTGACATCACCCCGGAGTGATGTCAGAAGGTGAAGCAAAAGGGGGAAAGGCATCTTCAAAAGCCTCCCTTTCCCTTCCCCAGCTGGCCTGTGGGGGGGGGGGGAAGCGAAGTTTAAACCCCTTCTCACTAGAGTTGGGACGCAGAAGGAGGAAAGAGGGAAGGAAAGAGAGAGAGAGTAGAGAGAAGGAACGAAGGAAGGAAAGAAGGGAAAGAAAGAGAAGGAAAGAGGAAAAGAAAGAGAAGGAAAGAAGGGAAAGAAAGAGACGGGAAGAAAGGAGGGAAAGA